ACATCCTGATTTACTTGGGCGAGGAGTGACTGGGCTTTTGCTTCTTTTGTGCACTTATAACCATGTAAAATGTTTTTCCCATGAGAACTTACAGGCACATCAAGCAAATACTGGTAAAGTAGGGTGGCCAATAGAAGGGGCTACAATAGACCTGCGCAATACCTTCGACAACTTTGGGATTAGCGACGGGCTCTGCTAACATACTAGTGACAACTCAAATCTAATGTTGACGTTACGGATTCCTAATCGTTATGGACATCGATGGTTCCTAAGATTACCAAATAGGCGAAAAGGCGTTTCGATATTTTTAACGCCACTACCAATATCATTGCTTAGCTACTTCAGCTAAAGGTAAGATGTTTACATTTTTAAAGCTATACACGGGATTTAAAATTTACATATGGGTTTTTAGTAGAGGAATAATAACAGTAGCATTTGTACGCGCCAGTAGTTTTCACTGCGGTCTCATTTACCTGATTTAAAGCTTGACAGGTGTAGTCATTTAATCTGAAGTTTTGATTGTGCATATATCATCGAATATTACTATTGAAATCAATTTGTTGATGATGTTGCTGTACCTAGTGACTAGTTTTGATGGAACAGTATAATGACGAATAATATAACTCATACGATATGGTCCATTTTGAATTTTGACCAATTGTGCCATTAAATAGGCATAAATTGTGATTTTCCATTGATACAAATGCATTAAGTTACAAAAATGGTATCGATAAAAGAAACAAAAAAAATAGTGGACTCAATAAAATGAAAGTGCTTCTTAATACGCGAAACACACATAGTTAAATGACCTACGGCGAGCCGCTTAAGAAGCTATATGGCATAAAAATGGGCAGAACCTGAACTTTCCTGCCTGGTAGAGACAGATAGGTTTTAAATTACCAAGGTGTGTTAAATATAATTGTAAATGATTGAATGGTGGGATAATTATATTTCTCTATGCATCAAATATTTTTTTTTTTCTTTTTTACAAATATGGTGAATAGCAAGAACGTAAAATGATGTTACTGTTGACATTTATATTAAGCAACTTTAAAACTTTTGGACATGTATTACAATTTTTTATTTAACCCTCAACAGTAAACCCTCCCGGACTGATTAATCTGTACACCTTGGGTCCGCGCGGACCCCAAATCAGTTTTTTGCTAATTTTCAGAAATTATCAACATGCTACCAGCTCAATTGTTTTGCAAATGAATGTGTGAACCTCTGAGTCCACATTACGTACAAAAATCATTTATTTTGACCTCTTACTATTTTTTAGTGAAGAAAAGACAAAGAGAAGAAATACACGTCTTTAAAACCCTATTCAGACCGAGTGGTTTTTTTGAGGCCCGCGCCAAATTTAATCTGAAATAGCGCCCGAACGGCTTGAGCTAGAACCATCAAATTTGGTGACCATTCCTAAAATGTATCTAGTAAAAATTTAATGTAAGTTAATAAGTTAATGATTTTTTGTGTTGCCATGGCAACGGGTTTCTGACAGGCAGTTTTGGGGGGGAAATCAGTAATTCTGGTTTAAACATAAAACTTTCAGGGTTTTATATTAAATAACACTTCCTTCCTGACATTAATAACATCTTACATAATTAAAGATAAGTAAAATTCTTTAATATTCATAATATATGCTAATTTGATGACGTCATTGGTAAAATCCAAGATGGTGGACCATATTATTAGCTCTGACGTCATATGACGTCATAATTACACCAAAGTTGTTAGAATTTAGTTCTATTATTACGCCGTTCTCAGAAAATTTGGCAGCCATACGATAAAAATACATAAAAGGAAATAATGCAATGTATAAGAACGCCAGTGTATCCATTACGATCGAAAGGCGGCTGGGGTCCGCGCGGACCCCAAAAGAAAATCAGATATAATTTTTTTTATTAAATGGGGGAAAATAAATGTTCTGTACTGTTTTGGGGGACAACTTTGTGGGTGACAATTACCTGAAGTTTCAGAAAAAAAATCTTAAGAAACAAAAAAAAATATTACAGGAGATAAAGTGCTGGGGTCCGCGCGGACCCCAGGTGTACTGTTTAGGGTTAAATTGAGGTCTTATAATTGAGGTCTTAGGGTGCCCCGGCTTTCATCAACTTAACGGTTTAGTATAGAACCCACAGACTTGTTAACCTTTCTTAAAATATGTGTTTTGATTTAAACAATAATTTTATATCGATTTATATAAAAATTGCGTTTTATGTAGAATGAGTTTTTAAAAGAATATACGTCTTAAAATTAAAATTAATGTTCACTTTTTTATTATTTTATTATAATCTTGCGATAATGTTGGTAGCTTAATCAATCCCGACCATAATCCCCAAATCATAAATAGATCTTAAGCCACATGGATTCTAAACCAGACCGGTTAACCTTATATAGACTAGGGGGGGGGGCTAAAAGTGCCCGTGCTAACTTTGATGTCAGATACCATCCGAATGGTTTGTGCTAGGTCCACCAAACTTGGTGACTTTTTCAAAAATATTGTCGCCAACAATTTCGTTGCAGTGTAATAAATTATTACTTTTTGGGGGGATGCAAAAGGCAACCTGGTTTTAAACAGACATTTTTTTTTGAAAAATCAGTAATTTTGACATAGAAATTAAATGTTTAGGCGTTTATGTTAATTTACACATGCTTTCTAATATAAATAACGTTATATAATTCCATGTAATTCTTATTAATAATTATGCATGTTTGATGACGTCATTGGCCAAAATCACTGGTCTGTGGTCCCAGCGTCATAAAATTAGACCTTTTGTGTTGGCCATTTTTTTGTTCACAGGATATTTCGAGAATCTGGAAATGGATGTTCACGATTTTTTTGTGAGCAAGTTACCGTTGACGATAGCAAGATCATCTTTGAAATTGGGCGTCGTGGGAGGTCCGTACGTCACTGTATGGGCTTTTGGTAATTTTTGGTTAGTTTGTCAGTAATTCAATTTGTGGAAAAGCAATGTTCTTGTTTTTTTTCTTGTGAATAGGTTAAGGTGTTTAGATTGAGGGTTTCAAGTTTGGAGTCTCTAGTAGGTCTCTAGTAGGTATTTTGTGTGAACATTCTGTTGTGTAAAGAAGGTCGCGATGTTGAGGAGCCCTGAACCGAAAATTAGAAAACCTAGTTTTGCCTTAAATAGGCCTAAAACACTCGAATTTCCTGTAAAATGCCAGTTATAGTCACCATAAATGGAGAGACTTGGCAAAAATTATGCGGGAGGCAACTTTAGAGGTCGACTCACATGAAATGACATATAAAGTGATCAATTTGAGAACAGTTTATCGTCCAGAAACGATTAAAATCGCCCTTCACTGAGAGTTGGGGGGGGCGCCTAGGACCCGACATGTATATCCGGACTTTTTGACCCCAAAAACAGTAGAATGGTGCGTTTTTTACGCAGATCTGACAGCTTCGGCTAGAAACATTAAAATCAATCGAAATTACGTCTCGCAAAGAAGCATGCGAGAATATGACTGGTGGAGGAAAACATGGCGCCTGGCCGGCATAACCGAAGTCCATGGAGGAGAACATGGCGCCCGGCCGCATAATCGCAGTCCAAAAACTGTCTAGAAAACTGCAGCAAGAAACTACACGGAGCCGATATCAAACTACATGTAACAAAATGTATGTGAATTTGGTACAATCATTTGAAGCCCACCCTCCCAAGCCCGTGGGCCAATTTAGCTGTAAACATGGACGTGTGAATTGCTTCTCGCGATAATGTTAATAGTTCCTCGCGGATACGTTAATTGGCCTTTGTAGGTACCGAATGAGAGCATGCGCAGGCGTTCCACGGAGATATATGTAGGGTTGCCGGCCGGAGCTTCTATTGTGTGCGATCTTCGTTTCATCAGAAAATACCTCCCCACCCCCACACCCCCAAAAACGGCCAATCCGGGAACGCCTGAAAAGGAGGCTAATTTTGTGCGCCTAATTTAATTAGGGGTAAATAAGGCACATCAAAGTACATTTTAAAGTAAGGAGTAATTTATTTCGTCATTTTTAACCAAGGCTGCATGGAAAAAACGAATTTTCAAGGGGTAACGGCTTAGTACTCGAAAAAGCTCAGAACCTAATGTTTCCCAAATTTGAATTTAATTAAAATCGATGCGATACGTTTACCGCTATCTTCGATGGCCCGACACCCACAACGCATATAGAACGTACCATCCCGGCGGTCAGGCGAAAACGCCACATAACCATCCGCGCGGACTAATACCAGGAAGTCTTCGCTGGACCACCAACATTGCGCCACCTATAAAGGCTACAACTAACAGGCTTTTCAGAAACTACAAATATATGTACACGGTTATTACGATTTCAGGGATATCGCGGCCAAAACATACAAAACAAAGTCACGTTACGGGCGATTTGTTGCGCACTTACTTAGACTCTGGTCAGATTTAAACTCCGACCCGGAACCCTAACAACTCTATGCATATATTATATATTATAGAAGTAATTTGCATAATTAATGAGGAAGTTTAAATGAGGATGTTTAAATGAAATATTGCCAAGGGTTTGACACGTAAAATATGGGTTTAGAACACCATAAATTAAACTACATTATATCAATTCCCACCTTATTTCCATATCCAATGAAACAAAACATTTACATAAACCCCACATATTTAATGGAGGTACGAATTTTCAGAATTCTTGTCTTTTTTAATGATCTAAATTTACTCTTTCAAAACGGCTCTAAGGATGTTCTTCATAATAGAGGTGTGTTTAGGAGTTGGATCTGAGACAGGCCGAAATTAATTTAGATTGTAGGGGATTAATTTTGATGATACGCTTTAAATATTTAAATACTTATTAAATGATAGATAAATAATTTGGGGAGTATGGTGATTGATCTATTATACGGTTGCTAAATAATAGTTTATAATGTTGACCGTTGGACAAGGCTTTGGAGTAGACTAACGTTAACTAATTAATGTCAATTATGTCCATACAGGTTACCATATATAATAACACGGGAAGTAATTACATATGGACACTGGAGCTGTGCGTTACGTGAAGGAGAAAAGGACCAGTTTCAAACAACACTTTAGGACTCACAAAAATGAGAGAGCCTATAGATGTGAGGAGTGTAATCGAGGGTTCGGTAATTTTGGCCATCTTAAGACACACATGAGGACCCATACTGGGGAAAGGCCTTATCAATGTGAAGAATGTGGCATTCAGTTTAGTACTCTGTCAAATTTAAGGACACACGTGCGGAATCACACAGGTGAAAAACCATTTCGTTGCGAGGAGTGCAACCGACGTTTCAGTACCCTAAGTGTTCTTAAGATACACATAAGAACCCACACCGCTGAAAAACCGTACATCTGTGATGAATGCGACAGGTCATTTTGCCAGCTCGTTCATTTGAAGGATCACATTAGGATTCACACCGGTGAAAAACCCTACATGTGTAAATATTGCAGCAGGACGTTCAGGCATCGTAGTGCTCTACAGACACATATAAGTACACACACTGGTGAGAAACCATACACATGTGAACATTGCTCTGGAGCATTCAGTCAATCAACTCATCTTAAAACTCATATGCGGACTCACAACGGGGAAAAACCATTCATGTGTGACGTTTGCATCAAACAGTTTACTACGCGGTCTAATCTGAAGAGGCATATGCGTATTCACCAACCTGACAGACCATTAATAAAAACGCAGTGTTCGCTTAGAATCCCCCAAAAGAACCATTAGGAACACATACTCGCGACGGTGCATGTCATCCCCGATAATATCAAACAGATTTAAACGACTGCCGTTTACCTCGTGAATAGCGTGAAGCAACATTCTAGTTATTAAAACCATTACCACCATTAAACAAAGATGGAGTGTGGAGTGTTCGAATTGACTTTTTGAGCTGGCAAGTGACAGTCGGGCCAGCGGTACAACTCTGTAGAAAATCTCATCGCAAACGGGGATCTAAGCCCTGGGGATCTAAGCCCCTGTCTAAGCCCCATGCTATTCATAGGAGGTGATATGGATGCTCAAATTGCAAAGGGTTATTCCATCCACAAGGTATCAAACCGTAACGGCCTACTCTTTAACACCTTTACAGAACAACACAACCTTGTAGTTGGTAACATCTCCTTCCGCAAACCTAGCCGCAAACTTTGGACATTTCGATCACCAAAGGGTGACCGCTCCCAGATAGATTTCTGTTTTTACCGTAAACGATGGCGCAACAGTGTTAAGGACTGCCAGGCATATTCCTCATCGAACCCAGTCAGTAGCGACCATCGAATTGTGACTGCCACTGTTAAACTCAGCCTTAGAGCGTCCAAGAATGCAGCCTCAAAGAAGCTTTTCTGGAGTGCGGTTACAAAGAACAAGCAACTGGCATCCAAGATAGAGGATACAGTCAAATCTCGTTATGAAAACTTACCCCTGTCTGAACAAAACTACTCATCTTTTGTTATCATTGCCCACAAAACCGGCAAGGGATTGCTACCTCGCCGAGCTCAAGATACCAGAGACGCTGGTCCAGTAGTAACAGCAAGGAACGCAACACTCAGAGCATCTACTCGGAATGTACAAGCAGCACAGGTCAAACTGCGGTAAACCTATGATCGTTGCGAAGACAGGCGTATTAACGAGACACTCAGTATCTTTAAAAATCCAGCTTTGTCAACAGATGTCAAAAATGCATGGGACGTTGTGAAGACTTGCTGGAAATAAATCAAAAAGTGTTGTGTATATTGAGGGGGGAGACCGACTGAAATTATGGGGGGATCATTTCAAAAACCTTCTTAATGTGAATACGAATCCTATAAGCACTGAACCAATCTATAAAGTATTTGATGTTTTTACCGAGATTAAGAGTGGGGAGTTTTCTCAGGAAGAAGTTACCTTGGCAACCATGCAACTAAAAACTGGGAAAGCACCTGGCATGGACGGCCTCCCATCAGAATTTTGGAAACTGCCGAGTATGACAAAAATTCTTTTGCACTTTTGCAACCTAAGCTACAGGGGAGAGCGCCCCAAGGAATGGGGATTGTCTGGAATTATCCCCATCCCTAAGAAAGGGGACTTGCGCCGCCCAGATAATTATAGAGGTATATCACTGTCACAAATTGCATCCAAAATTTATAACCGTTGTTTGCTCAAAAGGATTCGTCCAGTTATCGACAAAGTGTTACGCACAAACCAAAATGGCTTCCGTCAAGGTAGATCAACTACTTCTCACATTCTCGCGCTCAGACGCATTGTAGAAGAGTTGAGAAACTTTGACCAAGAGGCAGTACTTGTGTCTATTGATTTCCGCAAGGCATTCGATTCGATTAACCGCCACAAAATGTTTCAAATCTTGGAAGCGTATGGGATTCCGCTGGATGTCGTCAGCGCTATTCGAGTCATGTACTAGGACACCAGTGCTGTGGTTATTACTCCTGAGGGAGAAACCGATGCATTTAGCATTAACACTGGAGTCATGCAGGGCGATCCTTTGGCCCCTTTCCTTTTTGTTATTTGCATCGACTATGCGCTCCGGTCTTCGATTTCAGAATCAGACGGGTTTACTCTCCGTCGTCGTCGGAGCCGTCGATACCCAGCTGAAACCCTCCCAGACCGTGACTTTGCTGATGATATTGCTTAATTGGAAAACTCAATAAAATATGCACAAAATCGTCTCAAAAGTCGAAACTTCATGTCAAAAAAAAGGTTTATACTTGAATGCTTCCAAGACAAAGTTCATGCATCTAAACCCTACTACTGACAGTTTACTTTTTGCCACTGATGGCACTGAAATCGAATGTGTTGCGGATTTCAAATACTTAGGAGGGTACTCTGATAGTGTTCATGACATGGATGTGCGGATCGCACAGGCATGGAGTGCTCTTCACTCATTACATAAGATTTGGAAAGCGCCCATTAGAAAACAAACTAAGATCAAAGTGTTTAAGGCATGTATTGAAACAACTCTTTTGTATGGGTCAGAATCAGGGGTCATGAATATGTCACATTCTAGAAAACTAAACGGAACATACACGAAGATGTTGCGAGTGATTTTCAATACACCATGGTGGAAACACACTACTAATGAACAGTTATACGGTTCGCTACCAAATGTAACTTCAGTAGTCAAATGTCGACGACTAAGCTTGGCCGGTTCTGTAGTACGTAGTGAAGAACCTGCCAGTAGGCTTCTACTCTGGAACCCTGATACCTGTAAGAGAAGAGTTGGACGCCCAAACATAACAGTTAAGAAACTTATTGAAACCGAAACTGGCTTGGAGGGACATGGACTTTTCTCAGTGATGTATAACAAACAGTTGTGGCGAGCTAACTACTTCACCTCTACTATGGAGGATGAATGATGATGATGATGATGCCCCTGTTCAGACGAAATCTGTGAAGGCGCTTTACATGTGGTTTCCCCCGAAGCCAGCATGTGGCCTCCCCCCCCCCCAAATGGCGTTGAAAGCGCCTCGATCCCAAACCACTTCGGAATGTAGTTTCGAACCAGTTTTCCCGGATAGCGATTTGCGTCTGAACGTAATGTGATTTAACTGATCATGGATTACGAGGTGATATATGTTTATTTATATGCAATACCAACATTCACCTGGCAGCAACTTAAGGTGATATTTAATGGCGTCTGAGGACTTTTATGGGATATTAGTATAGAAAATAAACTCTATTTGACATGGTAGACTTTTAGGTCTATTTTTACAATCTATGATCCAAGGCCACATTTTTTAACGACAAAGTTCGCAATTTTACGCGGCATCCACCATCCGAGCTCCCATATATGGAGCGTTGTGTGTGCCCTTCCAAATAATGTGCACACACCCCGGCCCCACTGAGGCGAAAGCACGACTCCGCTGGGCCACATGAAGCAAGGAATGTGAACTGTGTGTGAGCTTCACTTTGCCATTGGGAAATGAAAAGACAATTTTTCTGATATTTCGAGCGTTTGTAAATACAGTACATTTATTTGTAAAACGCTAAGGTACCAAAATCTGACAACTGCAAAGAATAACAAAAATCTACCATGCCAGCTAATCAGCAAATAATTGTCAAGTCGGAACACATATTAATCTGGAAATATACAAACAACAACAAATATATCACAGAAATCACCAAGAAAAAGGCTGGATACGCCAACAACTTCCTATAAAAAACATGTGACTGCCAAAAGGAACAAAGTCGTCTGTAACTGCTTTGAGCCACCAAAGAGCGGCCGGTGGCGAGTCGGCACTACACAAAGAGACGGTGCCATCAACATTAATCATGTGGCATGCGGTGTTACTAGTATGCCTTTGTGATCTTTCAATTCTCAAACGACTAATATCTTACTTAATAAAACGTGTCACTGTCTCTACCTGCGTGCTGTCTCATTACTTTGAGTTTGTTTCGTATGCAGTTGTGGGAAGAAAATACGTGAACCGACATGACACAAGAACTGATTTTCATTATGCAACGTTCTTTTTTATTTAAAGAAATACAATGCAAACAAACTTCAAGCTATCTTAAAGCGGAATTTAAACATAATCTTTCTATATCAAAACTGTAACAAACAACTATCTTTACAATGTACAGCGATAGTGGCAGCTTAAAACGGATCGTCCATATTTGCAGATAAAGCTGAGTACGTAAAACAAATAATATACTGTAAAGCACACGTCTACTAGGACAAAATTCAACGGAAATTCACATAATCAACAAAATTAATTCGTTAGTAATCTCATATAACGTCCGCACAGGCTTTTCTCTAGGGCTAGTAGTATCTATTCCGGTAACTTTTCAGTCTTGTTGCCGCGTATGCCAAAACACACTGCAAAGAACTTCGGGGGTTGGCATCAAAAACAAGTCTGTAACTCCAGAAAACGCGGACGGAACTGCTCAAGAAAGGTCTCAGAATAGGCCATAAAATTCCACCTTCAAAACTACGTAGGATATAGCCGTTCAAAAGATTGTGTAGCGGCCCAAATGTTGCCGCAAAGTGCACAGCGTTGTTCGCACCATCCACGCTGTCCGCCATTTGTGTTTCGTTATGTTACTCCCCACGCTAAAGAATGGGAGAGAATAGGTCTTGTTTTGGGCTGTTCCTATTTTTACGTTTGCCGCCTTAGCGGATAAAAATAGATAAAATCGTCCTTTTTGTACGTTTGTTAAATCAACATTTGTTGATAAACAAAAACACTTAAAGTTTATATTGCGTGGCCCTTTTTGCCTCTGTCTACTTTGATGCCATTGAATGGCTATTAAACTTGTTTACCGGAAGATTCAAACTATTTTAGACAGAAGTATAGAGGAAAAGTTTTAGAACAATATATCTTATTAGCTTTGTTCAGGTACACGTACACGTGTATAAAAAGATTTTGATATATTGGTAATGATAATTATTATATAGGTTGAATGGTCTAGAGATTGTGCGAGCATCGATAGATCGTCGACCGTAAGTCGAGCGGCGTACGCCCGTGTGTCGAGCGAGCTTCGGCTGACTCCCGTTTGGTTAAAAGGTGATCTTTATGTTAACCAGACGGTAGTGTAAATTTGTGGCTCTTGTGGTAGTATTTAAGTTGTATCTTTCACAGAATTCCTGTTTATATTTCTATTTTTTATTCTGCCAGTCCGCTCCATTACTTTGCTTGTCGTAATAAATATTTCGATAGATCAAACAGTTTCAGTTTATTGGGATCCCCTTTAGCCCATTATGGGCTATTCTTCCAGGGTTCCAATACAAATACATGTAACATCACAATTACAGACACAATCCTACATATTTACATTTAACATACAGCATAAATCATATAAAAACAGAGGGGATGAAACATGAAAATTGGCCAAACTATTCATTTTAGGTGGATTCACTGGCCTTGCTTCATCTGCTTCCCATGTCATAGGGACTTCATTATCATAGATGTATTCCCAAGCGATCGCCCGAGCCTCGCACAATGTGAAAGCGACGATGTTCAAGGCAAAAATACGCGTGATCGTCGGTCGATCTCAAAATCGGCCGATCTTTCGGCGATTGACAAATACGACCGAACCTCGTCGGCAATGTGACAGGGGCATAAGGATTTAATAATCAATATTTTTCTGATATAAGGTGAGTTTCCTTCTCTGTAAAATTCGTAACAGCTTTTCAATTTTTTCAACTGTTTTTTCCAGTTAAGTTTCTCACATTTCTCCTCAGACAAACCAAAGAAGATGCCTAGTGACTCAATCGGTTTGTGTGGCCAATTTATTCCAAAGAGAGAATCCCTTCTTCCTATATTGGCTCCCACCCACATACCTTCACATTTTTACGGTTTAAAGTGGGACTTGCACAAGACTAAATTCATCCACAATCCCTAATGCCTGTCTTATGAAATCATCGCCAGAGAGCGTAAGAGTGGTATCATCTGCTACTTGGCTAATCTTTATTTCTAGTAAGCTATCACTATTCATTACTTCAATACCTTTAACCGTGTTTGTTTGTCGTATTTTCTTTTCAAACCTTGTATTTTAGCTGCGAACGCGGAAAGCCGACTGACCATAATAACCCTGTTAGTGTAGGATGTATACCTCCTTCACGGAGTAGTAATAACATAAACATTAAACGAAAAGAATCTATCCCATTATTTCTAACTATGCTATATAGGAAAACTCACCAAGAGTTGCTACATCTAGTGAAAGCTGTGCTGACGTCATTTCGAATTAAAAGGTGGCGCGAGCTGGTCTATAAAGGCGCTTTTTCAGCCCAAAACAATAGCCTAGTTTGTCTAAAACGTGACACAGATGTAAAAGCTGCAGTACCAAAGAAAGGCTCTCGGTGGCATACAGTCACACTTGCGTTTTATTTTGCTACCACCAACCTAAGAAACTAACACAAAATCCTATAGATGCATCTTAAACATCTCAATTACATGTTATGCTTTATACTAACGCTTAAGGAAAGGCCAAAAAATTATTTATTCCTCAGTGAGGATGATTACTTTTTCAGAAAAGGTTGCAAGATTTCTTTAATGTTTTCCTTAAAAGGTCTTGTCTTCCCAATTCCAAGATTAAGGAGTCTTGATACATCAAGGTGTGCATCGTAAGGACGCTGGGTTGCCCCGAAGGGCTCCTTATCAGCCACCAGGTGTGCAGAGGGAAGCTTTAACACCTCTGCCATAGTGACGGCCATCATATATTTTGTCATCTCCTCGTCAGCGCTCCAGTGAAACACACCGTGCAGGGACGAGTCCTGTAATTGAAGTAAACAAAAGACACAAATGCAACGGATGGCGAGCAGTACAGCAATCTAAGTATACCAGTTTGCAAGGTTAAGACTTTAATTACTTTTTGCTAAAAGGTCAACTACAGCAAAAAATAATGGATATTTGATTTTCTTTAAAAAAAGTTTTACGCAATTGAATATATCGCGTTAAACGAATCACGATAATTAGCTTAAGACTACTTTTCCAAACACATTCACCTTATTTGTTTACATTTTTCTCCTATATCATAGGTAGGGATGATTATAGTTACGGATTAATGAAATATGTTATTTTAATTTTCTTCTCATTTTGTTTAATTTTGATGAATCGATTCGCCATTTTTTTTAAATTTTTGAGCAAAATGACTACATAATGTGTAAATTATTAATTTTTAATCGGTGTGTGTGTGTGTGTGTGTTTCCTTGGACATGTTGTCAATTTATTGGAAGCTGATAACTTAAGCAGCCAATAAATGAAGGATGGCGTTGCAGCATTGAAAAGAAGAGAACGTGGAACAATAGTCTTTTTCCAAAACGGTCAGAAAATTAAGAGAACAAACCAAGGAAGACATTAACTGTTATGATGGACAAAAATGACATGAAGCACACCGACCCAAATGAAGTGTTACGCATATGGGAAAAGCATTTTAAGGACCATCTTAACAAGGAATCCCAACACCTAGAGGAGGCCTTAGATGACAGTCCAAACTCTTCAGTAAATGCAAGGCAAGGCCCTCCCATCTCCCATGAGGAAGTGATCAACTCTGTAAAAAGATTTAAAAAAAAAACAGAAAAGCTCCTGCTGATGATGCAATAACAGCATTTTGATGGACAACTCCTAAGGACATTTGAAATAAGATGTCTGCGGGCTATCCTGAATGTCTCAAGGAGAGACCACAATAGAATTGAGGAAACCCGAGCTATGCTTGGAAGGGAGGATGGAATTATCTATTTTTTTTAATTTTATTCACATGGATTTTTGAGCATTAGATAGGAAGCACTTGTTGAGTTATGTGAATCCGCTGCTCATAAAACATGATACAAATGTAAACATCAATATGACATAAAATATAACATAACATAACATAACACAAACATAAAAATGAAAGTGGCTGGCACATCAATTATACCTGGCGCAACATTTCCCCCTTCCCTACCTAACCAACTTTCAAGTGCAATGTACACTTATTGGGTTGTTATCTTCTGACCTTTCCGACAACTAATAAAGCACAAGGTCAGATAAAACTCTTTCTACATAAATTTTGTGAAAAACTTATTAATATTATCATTTCGATATACTAAGCACGTTTAAATTTTCTAAATTTTAAGTGCCAAGCGGGGCCTCTAGACAAACTTGTTTTCAAACAAATTTAGCGTCCGTATTCATCATTAAAATCTCTATAACATTCAATAAATACCAGTTGTATGATTATTATTACAACAGAGATATTATCTAATATGTTAATTTTGGCAAAACTTACATGTCTGTATTTTGTAACATCCATACAGTGCTAGCTCTAGCAAAATGTTGGAAATATTGTACACTCTGGGCCCGACCCAGTGTTGTACAACAACTTTGCTACTTTTTATACATGTGTTCTGTAAGTCAAAAGAATGTTGTGTGTGGATAATTATCCTAGTTGATATGAGGTCTCTTTTTCTGCAGTTCTATCCCTCTTGCCAAAAAGCAGTTACTCAAGCAACTGTATATGATTTTGAAAACGTCAGACGTTCCAGCTAGTATCCACTAGCTTTCGTCAGTGACTGAGAGACCTGAGGGGAAATGCAGGTTTATAAGTACAAACTATTGATTGATATGCAAATACGACGAAGATGCAAATAGTGACGAAAAATTGTTGGAAGTCGAAAATGGAACAAAAGTCAGGCAAGTCAAGACAAGATCATGTAAATTAGTCAGAGAGCTCCTGTTATGCAGAACAGGAACTTAAGTGTTATCTGTCCTCGGGACTGGGAGTGCCAAATTCCAAGTGCCGGAAAGATCCACCCGTAGCCCCCTTCCCTGTTGAGGGAGGGGTTGTACATTCTTTCATATATTGCCTCTTTAACACCCCGTTCCCACCAGCGTGTTTCGTAGTCTAAGATATCCGTGGACTCGAGTTTGAAGGAGTGACCCAGTCACTGACGAAAGCTAGTGGATACTAACTGAAACGTCTGACGTTTTCAAAATCATATCCAGTTGCTTGACTAACTGCTTTTTGGCGTATCGTATTACTTAGATGTCTAACCTTCATCGACCTATCCCTCTTGCTTGAGGACTTACATTTTTGGTATGTGTAATTATATTATGACTTCTCATGTATATTCATCTTCTCCTGCCATTTCTTAAAATTGATTCAACTACTTCATTTTGGGCTAAAAAATATGAAATTCGGCATGAAGTTAGTCAAATACCCTCAGGCGTTTTTTTTTTCTTGATACATGCTTTTAGAATGGTTTCATTTTGACTTTTTTTTGCTGTATTACAGGTAATGTACGTCGATGAAGGTTAGACATCCAGATAATACGATACGCCAAAAAACAGTTACTCAAGCAACTGGATATGATTTTGAAAACGTCAGACGTTTCAGCTAGTATCCACTAGCTTTCGTCAGTGACTGAGAGACCACAGGGGAAAGCAGGTTTATAAGTACAAGCTATTGATTGATATGCAAATAAAGTGAAGACAAATTTTTTGGAAGTCGAAAAATGAACAAAAGTCAGACAAGTCAAGACAAGATTATGCAAATTAGTCTGAAAGCTCCTGTTATACAGAACAGGAGCTTAAGTGTTCTTCCAAAACTTCAACATAGCCACTAACTTCAAACCTCACTCAACCCTCAGACAAAGACCGGTACACCCTAAGGACCGACCTCACAAAGGTACCAAGGCGAATGTTATTTACAGACTCAAATGTAAGGAGCCCAATTGTAACAACACCTACATCGGAGAGACAAGTCGACCGCTCAAAGTAAGATACAAAGAACATTGCCGACCTAGTGCCAACGGCTACTCCTCAGCTATTTTCCATCACTTACAACACAACCAGGGTCACTCTTTCAAACTCGAGTCCACGGATATCTTAGACCGCGAAACACGCTGGTGGGAACGGGGTGTTAAAGAGGCAATATATGAAAGAATGTACAACCCCACCCTCAACAGGGAAGGGGGGCTACGGGTCGATCTTTCCGGCACTTGGTTTTTGGCACTCCCAGCCCCGAGGACAGACAACACTTAACACCTGTTCTGTATAACAGGAGCTTTCAGACTAATTTGCATAATCTTGTCTTGACTTGTCTGACTTTTGTCATATTGTTGGCAACAATTCTCTATCATTAGATTAGGATAATAATTTTTTGTGTTGCCATGGCAACGGGTTTCTGATAGGCATTTTTGCTAAAATTTAGTACTTTTTGTTTCAACAATAGAATTTTATGGGTTTTATGTCAAGTTACTCATGGTTTCTAATATTAATAACATCCCAGATAATTTTATGTAAATTTTATCATTAAATATGCATTATTTATGCTAATTTGATGACGTCATTGGCCGAGATTGAAATGTGTCCATATTTGGGCATATGTCTAGTGCCCAAATATGCACAGTAGGTGCATCCTGTTTGGAGATATGGCCACTGATACACATAATAGTAATAGTGACCTACTTATTTTTCTACCAAGTTTTACCTAGGAAAAGAAATCTGTTTGGATGCGAAACGGTTAAAGAAGCCATATAATCTACATTTCTATATAAACCTAGCTATTTCAACCCTACCTAGACCGGGCTTTTTTTGACATGGGGTGCCCGGGGACGGG